CAGCCTGGAGGAGGCTGGGGGTTGAGCGCCAACCTCGCCAGAGGCGGGAGAAATGGACCCGCCCACTGCGTCCTCCCCGAAGCCCTTGCGCGGGCTGGTCTCGGACCGAGCGGAAGTTGAGTAGTGGAGTCCAGTAGGGAAGAGAAAGGGGGGTAGCCTGGACAGGGTCCCTAGCGCTCCCGGCCCCACTCCCAGTCACCCTGCAGTTCATCTGTAGGCCTACAAGCTGAAACTTAGATGAGTTTCTAGGGCCTATAATTACCTGTATCTCGCAGTCTTCGGCCCAGTATTCATTTCCACCAAAATCTGTCCCCGGATGGATTCCACTGGACAGCTCCTCTAATGGAGTGGTTGTTTACACACGCCCACTGCTAGTCTCCATACATTTACTGTGTGCTTCTTCGCCCAACAGGCCCTTCCTCTTCCTCCTTGCCTGTCTGAAGCCTACCTTTCCTTTAACTGTGCCCACAGCTCCTCCTGTTAGCCCTCTCTGAATTCCCATAACACTTTCTTTACTATGAGCTTAGGTCTTGCAGTGAATTCAAACTGACTTAGAATTCCAGATCTGCCATTCACAAGTGGTGTGAGCTTAGGCATGCTGTTTTAGCGGTTTCATATAGACTCTTCTCATCTGTAAAATGGGGGTAATAATAGCAACTACCTCCTAGGGTGACTATGAAGATTAAGAGGATGAACATAAAGCACTTAGCACCATGCCTGGGTCATAGAAAAGTACTTCATAAATCATAGGTGTTTTCATCATCATTTGACAATAATGTATGGCCTCATTGTAATTATTTTCATGTGCAGCATGTTTTTCTAACTGGATTGTAAGTTATTTACGGAAACCATCTTGGTATTTCCTACCATGTCTGGCATAGTGTTGAGAATGTAGTTATAGCTTGATTAATGTTGAATGAATGAATGAATAAATGAGAATGAATGAAAATCAGTCCACTCAGCTGCATCCCCCTATGTATGGTCCCTAATCAAGTTCATTAAAAAATTCCATAACATAAATCTGTGCCACTGAACTAAAGCACCAAACCCCTCATCATCTCACATACTGTTTGTTTTCTAACTTAGCAGTCTGGGTAACTTTCTTAAATTATGCAGTAATTCATGTGATGTGTTTCCATGCAGATTTTGCTATGTTCTAGAGGTAAATAAAGCTAGGCATTAAGTTATTGCCATTAAATCTCCTTTGGAATCTAAATCTGTACTCTTGCTAGAACTTTCATGTATTCTGCATCTAAAAGCTGGGATCATTGCTTCTTTTCATTACTACTTTTGTTCACACTGAATGCTTCTTCGAGAGCCCATTTTGCAGTCATGGGGGAAATAACTGAAGACCTTTGCTTATTACCTAGCATTTCCATCCAGTATAGAAACATTTTCAGTTTCCTGATCTTATTATTTGTAAATTATGGCATACATACATACACCCTTTTTGGTGTATAGCCAGCCTACATTCTTAGGCTTTGATCTATGTTTCAGTGCATATTATCATGTAAGCTTGGAATTCAGGGATAAAACCAAGAAGGAAGGCTACTAGTTAACTTTTAAAATTGCAAGTGAGCCTGGCCAGTGTGTCTCAGCAGTTGAACATTAACCTATGATCCAGGAGATCGCGGTTTGATTCCGGGTCAGGGCATATGCCTGGGTTGCAGGCTCAATCCCTAGGGGGCATGCAGGAGGCAGCTGATCAATGACTCTCTCATCATTGATGTTTCTCTCTCTCTCCCTCTCCCTTCCTCCCTCTGAAATCAATAGAGATATATATTTTTAAAAAGGTATATTTAAAAAAAATAAAATAAAATTGCAAGTGAATTTTAGTGACCAGACAAATTTTGGACTAGAAGCTGTGCTATATAAAAATGAGACACATATCTTAGTATCCTCATGTCCCCAAGATACAAAACCTCTGTATCTTGGTCCCCATATCCATGAAGCCTTTCTCTGGTTGGGACCCAATAGAAACCTGTCTCAAATTTTTGTCAAGAATCAGATATGGAATGTGATGGGGCATATTACTGTTTCTGAAGCTCATTACCTTCATAAAGGTGAAAACCCAGAACTGGATCCTGGGGTAGCACCATGTCTGACTTCTTTGACCCCAGCCAGAGCATCTGCCCATTGTCCTGCCACAAGGGCTTCAGCCAAAGAAGTTCCCAGAGAGCCACATGTCAGCATCCAAGGCAAAAACCACCTCTAAGCAGGTTCAGGTCCTTGACTTTAAAGAAAAGCATTCTATCTTTGACACGGAGGAAACAGTCCGTTCTGAACCAGTTAGACAGATTTGGTTATTTCTGTGACATTTTAACTTTAGTTGACTGGAAAGCATTTTGTTTTTCATCATGATATATTAAAGATTTTTTAGAAATCCTTGCCCAAGGATGAGTGGAAGAGAGAGAGAGAGAGATCAATGTGGGAGAGACACATTGATTGGTTGCCTCCTGCATGTGCCCTGACAGGGGCCAGGGATCGAACCTGCAACTCAGGTAGGTGCCCTTGGCTGGAATCAAACCCGGGATCCTTCAGTCTGGGGGCTGGCTAACCCCTGAGCTAAACTGGCTAGGGCAAAGAATGTTGAATTTGTCTCTGCTCTAGCTTCCTATAGCTAGTTTGAAACTGGGAGGTAAAGAGAGGAAACACCAGGAAGCATAAGATTTCTTCACAGTGAAGAATATTTATAAATATACTTAAAAGAACATATTCTCAAGGAATGTATTCAATTTTTGTCTGCCCTAACTTTTTGATGTTGTATCTAGGGACTGAAGTGAAAAGAAATAAGAATATACTGATAAGAATTCTTCCCATTCAAGATTATGTTCATAAGACCAGTCTTTCCTTTCTCCTGTCCTTCATACTTAAACTGTAGCAGCAAGGAGCTGAGGCAGAGATAAACTGAATAGTCCTTAAAATGCTTTTATGGAGACAAAATGACAACATACAAGTCCATTTGGTAAATTGCTCATTTAGTAAATTAGCTCTTTTTCAAAATGGCCTTCAACAAACTAACCTGACTCCTAGGTAACCTCATTAGACACAACTAAATATCCCAAATGAAGCCATTTCACCATTTTTGCTGAGAGCAATCATCATGCTGCTCATTGAAGTTTAATAGAGTTACTTTAGGGATTAATGGTTGCAGTGTGTTCTGGGAAAAGAAACTTCTTAAACGTTGTGAGGAACTGTTTCAAATACTGGCCACTCCTGTGACACTCCTTGCCTCCTTATGTTGGCACCGCCTTTATCTCCTCCAGTAGAGTCTCAGACTGTGGGACCAATTTTAAACCCAAAGGAGGATGCTTCTCAGGAACATTCTCTCTGTCCTGCCCCTTATCTGTCTGAAGTAAAAATAAACAAAAAACAGACAAGAGGATTTGGCTTAAGGACCACAACCTGGACACAAAACACAACAGGAAAAATAAGGGGGGGGGGTGGGATCTAAAGGACACCACACACTGTGCATCCTGTTGTATACACTTTGGTTACATAATCTGCATTAGGAGATTTGGTTTCTGAGATCTTACCCCCAAATCTAGAGTGTTTCACCACCTTCCTCAACACTCAACGTCTTTGAAGCAGCTGAGCATCGTGGAAGGAGAGATTGCTCAGAGAGCTCTTGCAAATTGAGGCCGGTTTTCCCCATTGGTGGCTCTCATATGCTCATCAGCTCCCCAGAAACCCCAAATCCTGTCCTTCTTGGAATCCTACTGTTTGATGCTAAGAAAGCAGACACTTAGAGGGGATCCAAATCTGGGACTCATGTGGATTAATGGTAACACGTGTTAAAGAGATAAGCTTGAAAGAATAAGGGAAAAATGAAAGACAGAAATCTCATGAGGCAGAACAAGCCTTGCTCTAACTTTGCAGTTACATTGTGGCTGCTGTTTGCCAAAGGATGTTACTGTTATGGTCATCTTAATCTGGTCTGTCTTTCCACTTCCATGCCACACCTCCAGGCAAAGGACTGTAAACGTTTTCTCTTTGTGAAAGTTCTCAAACTTAAAGGAGTTAATTGCAAATTTATTTTGTCGATTTTAATGTTTTTCTGTTGATTTTAACATATAAATACAAGACAATTAAATAAATTGGAGAAGAAATATTGCAAAGGCAAATCAGCACTCAGAGAAGTATATTACATTATCACTATGGTTAGTCTGGGATACATTCACTTGAAATATATGCGAGGGAATGGTAGTGAAAGACCTAACTAAAGGGTTTTGAAATGTTCCTAATAAGGACACATGTGAGGCACTGCTCACACGGCTGTAGATGGGAAGCAAGATAGACCCTCTATAACTAGGAGCAATCAGGATTTCATACATATGGAAATAATAGCACTGCAGGATAGTTTACCATTCCCGGTAGCTGTTCCCCCTTGTCCCTATACACTCTTTAAGACTAAGAGCTCTTTTAGAAAATAGCTATAGCTCTGGCTGTGCCAGAGTGTACCAGTCATAACAATCAACAAAGTACCGTGCAATGGCCTTTTAAAGAACAACAATATGATTTTTTTCCTTTATATACATCTCTTTTAAAAAGTAATCCCTGTGCTACTCCCCTTTTCTGAAAGGCTCTAGGGATCTGAGAAGAGGCAGTGTAATGTATCTCCTCCACATTCACAATTTTCCTGACATATGGTCTAGATTACACTTCTATCCCTCTCTGTGGCCACGGTATTAAGGTAAACATCTTGGTGCAGATTCCATAATTTAATGATTAGGGATCAGATCGGGAGATGGGTATGAGATGCCATGTTTCCAGGTGTATACAGTTCACATCCTGTACAAGGGCGCACCCTAGAGGGTGAGTGGGGCTAAAAGATGGACCCCACTCTGTTTTCCAAGCCATGAGCCCATGGGGCTGTGTCTATCTATTGGAGACACCTTTTTCTAACTCACTCAAAGGCATTGTATGAGTTGATTGTGGCACTGTCTGCTTACATTTTTCCATTCTGGCTGGCATCATTATTTCTTGACTTGAATGAAGTTTCTATATTTCACATCCCATATAATCTCCAAAAAGAGTTTTAGAACTCACTGAACCAGCAAGGATTTTTTTGAATTATCACATTAGACACAACAACACAACCACGATTCTACAAAGAAATAAATTTACACACTAGAAAATAAATACAAAAAAAATGTAGAAGTAAGATTGCTGATGTGTGGGTCACTAGAATTTAGCTTACTTACAACAAAGGAATGCACAACTAAACTCACCAACAGGCTGAAGTCAACAGTTGCTTTATATGATGTTATCAAAGATAATATAACCTCTTTAAAATGTGGCTGGAAATGAACTACTTTTATTTTCTTTAAACGAATCTTATTTAGTGTGTTGCTTAAAACCAATCTTCTTTTCAAATGAAGAATAAGAAACCAAGTTGCAAATGTCTCCAAATGTCTTGGCATCCTCTTCGGATAGTAACCACTGCCCTCAATTAGCTTATGCTCCTCCAGAGGTTGCTGAGTATAAAATTAGTTGATTTTCATACATCTCACATTGTGGAAAAGGTAAAAATGGACATTTTCACACTGTCAAGCATCATGCTTTGATTTCAGAGAAAGGAATCACATTTGTTCAATGAAGTGTAAACTTCCCCGCTTTGAAGTCCTTCTGAGAGCGATGCGACTTTTACCATTACAGGTATCTTCTTTCTCATTAAACATGTGCTGTTTGCCAGTGAAATCATGAAGGCACACATCTCCATTCTGAACACTGAAAGAAACACCATTCTTCTCTGTAGAAGCATTCCCTGTATAAAGGGGGGGAAAAATGTCATGAAGTATCCCCAGAAAGCATTTAAAAAATACTCATCCTGAAACAGCACTTCATTCTTCATTATACACACATAGAACATGTTTAAAAAATGTTTATGGTATATTGTCATATTTTATTTACTTTCATTCCTTCCCTAAGGCCACTCAAAATAAGCAAAACAAATTGGAGAATGTTTCCTCTATGGCAGTTTTGAAAAATGAAATGCCCCAAATATGTTAATTCTTTTTTAAAAATATACCTTTATTGATGAAATGCTCCAAATATGAAGCAAAACAATATATTTGATTTTAAAAGGCCCATTTCCTAACTCTGGTTGAACATATATTGACTTCAAGTAGTAGCATATGGTAATATAACCTAATGTAATATTCTGATCTACCCCCAAAGATTAAGGTTAACAGAGATCCCCATATGTCCTCTTATAAGGTTCTTGGTTCCCTAAGCTTCCTATAAAATAAAACTTTGTACCAGAGAAACCCAGAGCAACAACAGTCATGGCAAGAAAAAAAATAGTCTCTTATAGACTAAACCAGCCCCTCTGACTAGACCAGGATAGGACTGATTCCCAAGAGGAAACCGCCAATTCCAACCTCAGAGCCCAGAGTCCAGGCCAGGGAGCAGCTGGCAATCTGGAGAAACTGTGGTTTGGACCTGGGTCTGCCCCACCCCGAGCAGTCCCTTAATTGTGTGTGGGGGGAGGGGGCATGCACAGCAGCTGAGACCCTCTGGCTACTTGGCATCGTCCTTCTGACCGTTATACCATTAGAAGGCAATGTGGAAAGCTGAATAAGCCAATTTGTTAGTTCATCCCTTAATTATAATGATGATAACAGTGCCGAGAACTTTATAAGTATTATATCATTTATTACCCTATGGGATGGGTGCAATTATTATCCCCATTTCACAGATGATGAAACTAAGGTTTCAAAAATTAGGTGCTTTGCTTAGGGTTAAATGGTTCAGAAGTGATGGAGTCAGCACGTGATGTTTCTTCCAAACTGTGAGCTTGTGTCACCGTGTACCAGGTGAGATGGCTGTTGGTACACAAGCCTCTAAGGCAGCCCATAACTGAAATATGAAATATTCACACAAACTATGTGACAGTTATTAACACAGCCCCATCTCTGACACAGTGCAAATATGGCATGTGACTGTCTGAGGCAGCTGTCCTGATTTAGACATTTTGATTTGAGGACGTTCTGGTGCAGGAACAATTTTACCTGGTATAATAAGCAAGGCATTAAATTTCCAGCTTTTTTTGAAAGTGTCTATCCCATCCCTTGTCCATTCCAGATCTTGGTGTGCAGACAGAGGACTCAGGGACAGCCACCTGACGTGCATTTCATGTGGTGGTAAACACTTGGCCACTTTGGTGGCCTAAAATGCACCCCCAGCCTCACCATCAGGCAGCAAAAACAGCTGTGTCAAATTAGCCGTGCCAGACAGCTGTGCAGACTGCTGCTTCGGCCAGGTCTGATTCCCTGAAGGATGGCAACATATCGATAGGCTAGGCAAGTGAGGCTCATCTCGGCTCTTCTAGAACATGCAAAAACCTGGCTTTTGAGGGCCCCAAACACTTCTATCTAAGCCGGTAGGCTTTATTGATAATGTGATTCTTGATGAGTCACCTCACATCTCTGATTTGTCTACTTTGAACTTGCTTTCTCATACTAACTTATGAACCAGCCTTGATTGATTGCCTCTACTCTGTTTGCCTACGTTGAGTCATTCCTGATACAGCCATTTGGCGTAGAGGCCAGAGCTCTCCCCTGGTATCTACAGTAAAGAGCTAAGGCCATGTGGCAGCTGTTTCTCATCTTATACAGCAATGGTTCTCAGTGATGGGGCGGAGCGGGGGGATTTTACCTCCCCTCACAGAGGACATTTCCCAATGTCTGAAGACATTTTTCATTGTCACAACTGGGGGTGAGTGGGTGGGTGCTACTGGTATGTGCTGCGTGGAGACCAGGATGTCACTAAACATCCCAGAATGCATAGGCCAGCCCCCCACAACAAGGAGTTATCTGGCTCCAAATGTCAATTGTGCTGAGGTTGAGAAACATCTTTAGAGGCATCTTTGGGAGGTTGGAAAACTGTTTGGTAGGTGTACATATGAACCTTCTCACACATTTATTTGAGTTTGTCATAAAAATAACTAATATCCTAAAATAATGAGTAAAGGCAAATTCTCCAGGGAAGGAGAAAGTATACCTGCAGAATTTAAGTTTTTATAAAAATGCAAAAATTATATTAAGAAGCCAAAGAAGATAGAAATAGATAAGCTTTTATGAGTAATGAACAGCACAGTCTTATGAAAGAAAGAAAATGTAATGGAAGTTTTAGCTAGAAATTTCAGAATTAATGAGTAAGGCAGGTGCAGCAATACTAATCTGTTCATATATTGTTGACATATATTGTCACCAATACTGGTCACAGTAATTGATACACTAATGGGGATTTGGGCACTGTCACAAGGCAGCCACACTGTGAAAAATAATGAACAAACATGATAAGTGAAAAATAGGAAGGTTTAAAAGTGTTGAATAACCTGGCCAGCGTGGCTCAGTGGTTGAGCGTCAACTTATGAACCAGGAGGTCACGGTTCGATTTCCGGTCAGGGCACATGCCCAGGTTGTGGGCTCAATTCCCAGTAGGGGGCGTGCAGGAGGCAGCTGATCAATGACTCTCATCATTGATGTTTCTCTCTCTCCCTCTCCCTCTCTCTGAAATCAATAAAAGCTTTTTTTTACGTGTTGAAGATGTGTATGACTATAGATGAAGTAAAAATTGATATAATTTTATCAACTGTTTTAAGTACTACTTGCACAGATATAACACAGAAGTCTTTGGGTAATACTTAAGTCAGGATTTGCAATGTTAAAACTTTTAGGTTGTCATCAATCCCATCACAAACAATGAATCTTAAAAAAACCCCACAGTTGTTCTGGTATTTGGTCTAAAGTGAATACATTTGGATTAATAAATTTCCTGTTTTATAAGGGAACCACACTTTGACCCACTCGCCATATATATAATTGTTTACTTTGCTTAGCGAAAATGCCATTATAGGATAATAATACTTTAATAAAACAAACACTAGCTTGAGAAATACTATATTGAGTGATACATACCATTTCCGCTCATGAGTCCTGAGCAATCATTATTCACTAGCAGCGTGGTGGAGTGGGTGGAGTTACTGTTTGACTGTAGGGAATTTGAAGAGCTGGACACTCCTTGGTTTACAGTCTGCTTCTTTAAACCATTAGTAGCAGTTTTACTCCAGTCTGTAGTAAAATAAGCATTACAGGAAAACAGAGAGGAATGTTAAAGCTCAAAGGCAAGAGAGATCATAGCGTGACTTGTTCTAGCAACTGACCTCCCACTTCCAGATCTTACAGAGAAGGCATACATTTCACAAGTTGGTGTGATAAAATGTATTTTCATTTAAGACTACATTGTCCTTTAAATGACTGCCTGGTTAAAAGTAACATATATTCTCTTGGAACTAGAGGCCAAGTTAATTGGATTATGTATATAACTATCCACTGAATTAGGTTGTACTTCAGAGCCAAGGACTGTCCTAAGAACATACATCAACCATGGTGTGTGATGACTCATGGTTCTTAAATGACTAAACTACATTTACTGCCATTTTCTGAATAGATCTTGTGCAACCAGATATTTGCAATACTACAAAGGTTGTATTCATGGGTGGTATTCATGCAAAAGGAATTTAGTTTTCAGACAGTACTTAATTTTTCTTGTGTTCTTAAAAATTAGCTATTTGCTCTACAATCCAACAGGACATGAAAATATTATAACTTCAAAATAACCAAATGTATGCTGAAGTTTATATACCAGGTTGAATCAGGACTTAAAAAGTTATAAAGGTAAATATTAAAAATTACTTTGGATAAATGGGAAACAGCTCAAAAGGAGAGAAATTCTAAAATTTTCACTGTTGCTTTATTCAAGAAAAAGCCAGACATTAATTCTATTGCTCACTAAGTTCCCAGATATGAGTAATTGTTTTTTAAATTCATTGGGGTTTTTTTGTCCCTAATGTTCACAATATTTTCTATTGAGCAGATTCCATTCATTGATTTCCAGACCCAATAGCTCTTTGGCATTTATTGCTTTGAACCTTAACTTATACAATCTTTTCCTCAAGATTTATAAGGGTAAACAGTAAAGTAATTTTTTTTTTTTTAAGTAAAGTAAATCTTTACCAGAATTTTCAGCCAGCCGGAACTTCCCACAACAAAGATACCGCCTCCATTGTTTTCTGACATTCTCTTTTGCTACGCAGTAAAAGATGAATATGAAAAATCCTATGGGGGGAAAAGACCCATAACATAGTGAATTCCAAACTAAGACCTGAATGTCATGAGCTTCCTTTGCACAAAAGATAAAATATTTGGCAGCTATAGGCAGAGTGAAATTTTGCAAATTGAAAAAAAATCCTGGGTAAGTTTGCTTATCAAAAGGCACCCTGGGAGACTCTCTTTGTAAGATAAAAAAATACTTGTAAAAGGAATGATAATTCTGTATTTCTAAAATTAAACTCACTGTGTCTCCTCTCACATTGTGTCTGTGGCTTTCCCTGTCTTTGGAAGAGCAAGCTATCCACCCAGGATGCCAACTCGGGACCTAGGCTCCTACACCCCTGCCCCTCCATATTTATAATTGACTTCCAAGTTCTGTCAAATGTCATCTCCACCATTTGTCTCACATCCCTTGCTCCTCATTTCAAGTCCTTGCCTGATCCTTCCCCTCTTCCCCTCAAGCCTGGAGCACGGCAGCGTTTTCCTCCTGCCTTCCAGCCTCCCTCTAACCTGCTCAAGGACACTCCACTGGCATCCTGGCTGAGAAGAAAACACCACTCCAGACTTGAATAGACCCTCAGGCTCCACCTCCTACGCACCTCTGTCCCAGTCTTTCAGTCACAGGGCTCACCACACAGCCCCATAACTGTGACTCCTCAATGATTTCCTCAATAAATATTTGCTGAATGAAGGGACAAATTTGGGTTTCTCCCTCTCCCCAACCCCTAATCTATCTACTTTAAAGTCTTCATTTTAAAACATCAGGTGTGCCTTTTCAGGTGCCCATCCTAAAGACTGATATCTTGAATACTGCATGCCCACCTTTGTTCATTTGCCACCCTGAGTGGCTACCCGTGGTTCTATTAGGGGAGAAACAGCATGTATGAGAGAGATCAAAGTGGGGGTACCCAAGCCCCACCTCAGAGCCTATACATATCTCTCCTTTAATCAATACCAAAGCTCTGCAAATTAGGTTCCCTTTTATAAATGAAACAGTAAATTTCTTCTATCCTTTCATATACTAATGAAAAGACATTCTGGGTAAAAGAAGAGAAAGGCAGGTTCAGTTTCCACATTAAATATATGAAGGTAGGAACCTTGCTTTCATTTTTTATAATTATTCTGATCTGAGCATATATTTTCTCTTTTTTTATTTTTTATTGTTGACAGTATAACAGATGTCCCCCATT